CATCTCCTATATAAATAATTACGAGAAGATTTAGTATATGACATGGATGTAAAAATTTCAATAGGCTGTTACAGAGGACCGAATTAAAACGTCGGTATCTTAGAAGAGCCATTTAAAATATTGATATTTTCAGAGTTAATTGCAATTACATATTTGGATAGATTGAAATCTACAAGTCAAGCTACTCATGTACTAAGTATGAGTGTTGTATTAGTTCACAGCCACTGTTTGCAAAGCCATGCCAGTGCTCTTTCATTGAGTAGCCTTAGCATGGCGCTTTACAAAGTTACGTCATTGTATTACATCAATTATAATTTTGATGTACTATTGCCATCACGTCTACAGTAAACGTTAATTTTGGTGTTATGGAAGTAATATTCGGGTGAAACTCCGTATTTTGCCGATCTATGTTACATCACATGATGATGTAAATATTTCGGCTGACAGTTCCTAAGTAGAGGCCTATTGAAACTTTTGTTGTAGGTATCCAAGCAGTTAGTGTGTAGTTTAGTATTATTAGTCTTTAAAAATGCTCATGTCTATATTTCATTTATTTATGTATGTACGTTTTAGAGTTCTTCGCTGATATTAACAATATTTTTAAGGGTCTCTCATTATATTGTGTAACCGTTATGTTATATTAAACACCCGTTATCGTTTGTTACTCGTCAGCTGTTTGTCCAGTTAGTTCAAATCTAGATGATGTAGAGATACATTAAATCAGATTAAACATTCTGTACATCCATTAATTATACAATTTCTGTCCGAAAATAGTCATTAATTATAAAAAACCACCACAAATGAAAATTAAAAATGCCATAAACAAGAGTGAAAATCCTCTAATTATACTGACACAAAACTACTATTAAATGTGCTTTGAAACATGACATGTTGATGCCTAGTTTATTATCGAATAGTAGCCGTGGAGTTTGCACAACATAGCCACGGTTGTACTATCAATTTATTTACTCACACGATCCTCAATTCACACTTCGTATCAGTTCGACACTAGCTGAGCTTCGGTACATTCAATTGCAAGGTGTAACCACAACATGGAACATGATCAGTTCTTAGCATAAACAAACAAATACTTACGAGAATATCATGTTTTAACAATTAAACTGTTACATATCAGATAAAATGCAAAGCTCAGCTAAGGCCAGACCAGGCTGTAAATAAACCAAATGGTTTTATATAAGCGAATTCCTATCCTCACTGTTTGTTACTCCCGCTGTGCACTTAAATAAATAAACTTAGTATTCGTTGTAATAAAAAATAATTTTACAGTTCACAGAATGCGGCTACCAAATTATATATGACGGCACGTGAATATTGCTAACTAATATGCTCCCTAAACCCGCAGGGGCTAAATACTGTGTAAGAAATGAAAGATAATTATCGTAAGAATACTCGCACTGTATCGTTATCATATATTTATCTAGGGTATTAGTTTTCAATTAAGTAAGCATATAAATATCAATATAATTTCAAGAATTCATAAAATTTAAACAAATACTTTTGCACTTACGATAAGAACATTTCAAAAGCTAAAATTGTACACAAGTTGAAAGAAACGACGAGACAATTTCACTCAATTCTTACATCAAAATACACAATAAGTAATAAGTATATGAACCTGATTTATATTTAGTATATTTTCCCACTTAACACGTCATAACATTAAACCCTAAATATTGAAGGCTGTTTCTTCAGGTATGGTAAGTAGTCTACGAAAATGCATGACTTAATGTTCTATACAATATTTCGGCGCATGCAGCACAAATACACAGCTCGAGACGTACACTTTTGCGGACGCACTACCAGTTGCGGAGTGTGTACATGCGCGGTACTGCCAGCGCAAACGTTCGGCGTGTGTACTTGACTACACTTTCAGCTACTATAAATAAATAGATCTCATCTTCTGTGGGCTCCGAGCTCTATCTAGACTACTCGAAGCGCACAGTGTGTCGTCACGAACAGTAACATACGCTAAACATTTTAGTATTTGTAAATAATAGTAACAATACATAGTACTAACATTTATATTTCGCACAGCGCAATTGTTATTTAGAATACGATTGATTCACTTTGATTGACACAGAAGCCAATAATATATTTAAGAGAACACTGTATAATTTATTAATGATATTTAATTAACTTATGCACGACGACACAGGCATAAATTAACTGGAACTAACGATTACCCTAAGTAAATATGATGTTTTTAATTATTTAACTTTACTCTTATTGCCTGCACTTTAACAAATAAATATTTGCTTCAGACGCTATTGCTATTTACTAAGTACGACTCACTTTTACAGGAATTTAGTTTTAAAGTAATATTAGGTAATCGAGTCATTTTCCTAAATTGAAGAAATACTTAAGATCCAATACCAAACGCATCCAATACAATTTTTGTCACCAGTAGACGGCGGGCCACATCATTTTTATTGCTATATAAAGCCTGGCAATAGTTTCTAAGTTTGCTACAATCCACAATATCACGCAGGTGGGCAATAATAAATTGATGAATTAATAACATTGTTTAAACTAACACTAAACAAGGACTTTAAACGAAATTAATATTCCAAAAAATATCTTTGAAATAATAATTATCAGAAAAGTTACAGCTTTAAATCGAACTGAATAAACATTGATTGTTTCTAGCACTACATACAGTTGTTTTCTACACAACACCCAAAAGTGACATTAAGTAGGTATGTGGTTTTCTCTCTTTCAAGAGCTACTTTTCACCTTAATTCTGGATTAATAATACTGTTCATTAAGAGTATAAAAGTGAGCGAAATAAGAAAAAAGTGCAAAATGATACAGTATTATGTAGCAGGGGTAGCAACATTGCCAGTTAGTAGTTGTGGCCCGTTAAGGAACATTTAAATACAACATTAAGCAACACATTTCACTATCCTGTTTCTTCAATTTAGTTCTAGACTGTATTAGAGGCACCAAACTACAGTTTTAAAACCCTTAAAAACTTCTGAATACTGTAAAAAATATGTTCTACTTTAAATCTATGAGCCCAAGGCAATGTAGATAGCTGACACCAGTCCACATGGAAGAAATGATGGCACTTCAAGTACTTCACGTAAGACACGTCTCGAGTTTATGGCTTCGCAGATAATACGAGCAACACTGCTACCTCTAGCACTACGACCGATTGACTGACGCCCAATCCGACTTTGTCAACTTTATCCAACATCACCTTGCTATCTGTATACATAAGCTGGAAGTAGTTGCTGTCATCATGTGTACTACACTAGTTTTATATCCATATCATCAATTTAGTAAATGCCGACAAGCACACTTGGCAAGCCGCATTTAGTAACTCGCTCTTCTTGATAATTCTTGGTGTTTTGCCAAAACAATTATTTTTAATGGCAATTAATATTAACTATGTTCATAATGAACTAGGTTTGGTGTCTCAGAGAATATGTGTTAACACCAAAGTTTATCAAGGAGACACGGTTACAACTTTATCATTACTCAATAAACTAGGCAAAAAATATTTTATAATAGATAAATATAATATCTATTGACCGATCTTCTGCCCTGACATCTTACCACTGTTTATAAAAATGCAATTATATAAATATGAATATGATTTGTTAACACTACTCATTGCATTTTTTATATCACAATTATTGATTGTAAGTGTTACCTTAATACATTAGAATCAAGAGTTTCGCGGGAAAAACTCACCAAGATTGCAAATTCCGAACAATGACATCAAGTAGACTACTAACTTCTATAATAAACAATTATTTTATATCTATATATTAGAAGAGCACAGATACATCATGTTGAAACTCGTCCTCGCTCTCTAATATATTTTGCTGTAAATATATTATGTGATGTATAGCAGACAATATTAACACAAGTGCTCACTATAGTAACACACTTTTGGTGTATAATCTGAACTTACATATTTAATCTGGTATAGCTAATAATTTGTCAGCTTGGTGATCTTAACCCTATTATTGCTTTTCATACAGATGACAATTGTAATGTATTGTTTAAACATAAAATAAGCAGTGATACTTATAATAAAATAACATGTGAATATGCTAAGTTCTATGTAAGTTGCAACATTAAAATACAATAAATGTGAATGAACAACATCTAAAATATTTAGTATTACCGTTGGTAAGACTCTGGTATAAACAATAAAGAAATCAGAGGTTCGAAAGGTGGATTATGGACTGATTCACAAATAAAACTGACTTGACACATAATTCTGGCTGTATCAACTTTAAACAGCGGAAATAAACAGAATGATGCCTCAAGTTATGAGTATAATAAACTAGCCGTAATAAGCGATCTTTCGGCAAGCAACCTTAAGCACCTATCTCACATTTACACACAGGACAACTGCTTGTAGACATATTACAACAATTTTCTTGAAGAGGGTTATAATTTCAAGTTAAGGGCGATTTATAGCTTCGGAAGAATGGCTTGGCATAAATACTAGACGTATTTCAAAGAGGTAATATTAAGAAGGTCCTTATATAAACTTGTGAATATATACAAAATTTTATAATATTTTTTTTAAAGAGATTTGCTACATTTTTTCATAAAATTAACAAACAACTAACAGGAACACATTGTTTGCCTTGGAATTGGAAAAGCACTTTATCAAGAATATAGTAATAATTCGTCTAACAAATTATTTTAAAGTAACGGAACATAAGTTAGATTTTCTGTTGACAACTTGACACTAAAAGTACAGGTAGTTAGTTTTGGCGAGTTTCGTGGATAAACAACAATAAGTGTGATTGCATAAACAAAACAAACATTCGTGTAAAAGAAAGTTACACTAACTTAGATATTAAACTCTTAGAGGAACACAAGAACGGCACGATGGAAGCTTTGGAGGTTGCTATAAAAATTATAAGCTGCCTTGTGCGAGAGGGATGCATCGGGAGCGGTGTAACAGCGGTATCTGTGAGGCGATGTCAAGGTCACCGCGGGGTTGTGGGGACCATTCACATAAGGAACTTGCCGATGATAATGCCGAGGAGCGCCATGCCAACGGCGGTGAGGACCCAAGGCATCAGTGTAATCTGTGCGTTCTTTTCGGGTCCGTATGAGTGAGGGCGCGCCACGCGACCGTCACCACCCGCGGACTGGCGCAGGCGCATCAGCTCCTCCTGCAACACACATACATCGTATTAAATCCTTCCCCGGTGTGCTAGCTTTCGCATAATAACATTTACGCACAGAATGTAGGTAGCCAAAGTTATTACTTTCGCACTTATTGCAAATGCGATCATAACTGCGCCATACTTGAGTACACAATCGCCATTGCACAAAATTAATTTGTATAGTTTTCGCAAATAAACGTTGATGAAAAACATGATTTCATATAATTTTCGTTATATTATTTAAAAGTAGAGTTTTCGTGTTGTTGGCTGTGGACAGTGTTATTTCCGCTACACTATAAATCCTTGTATACTATATTATTATCTTTCTCAATTTACCATCTTCAAACATGTCTCTAATTTATTGAGTTTATTCAAATACTTTATCGAGTAGGCATTATAGTAGGGGAGCCCACGATGCTAAATTTGGATTTACTTGAGTGTCGTTGGGACCTACTGGATTTGGAAGATATGCTGATAGAACTAAGAAATGGTTTAGTGACAATTTCTTCCACCGGTGGGGGAAGGGGGAATCCACAGATCTTTGAAATTGTTAAGCGTAACTTTTGTTTTAGTGGTCGAGCGTGTCAGATATTGATAGTGTACATGCTCCATGTGTATTTAATAATAAGAAACTCTTAATCTGCCAGTTTGCATGGTGGGGTTGAATGTTCTGGAGAGTACAAACGAGAACCCTTCAAAATCCCCACACTCTTGCAAATCAAGTTGGAATGGGCAGATTTTTTAAACGCACTTCCTTTAGCATGGTATTGACCTACCTTCCCTTAATCTGACGAAACTGACTTTATTTAGTCACGACTTTTTTTTATTCTTAGTCTCCCCCTTCTAATCAGATCGGATATATGGTGGGTATATTCAACATGATACTAGGTTTTCCCCATATGTTAATCTGACGCGCTCGAGTAACTACCGAAATCCCTTCATGGGCTCCCCTACTATTACTTTCGCTAAGCAACAATAAATAAAAATTGAGAACAAAACAATTTCATTATAATATTTATTATTGTATTATATTAATATTTGCTAACTCGATTGATTTCACTAGTAATGCATCTTGAACTACAAGTCTAGGTAGATTTTTTTTAATTAAGGCGCCAACATACTGTGCCTATGGCAGAGTCAGTTGTACGTGACACGTTAACTAGCCACTATGACAAAGAGCCGAGATGCCGCCAGATGCAGTCGGTATGCCGGATAGTGTAAAGGAGTTACGCTTTGAGCAACAATATGCAATCTATTTAAACTGAATTTTATCATCTTGATACAATTATGTATTTATATTTACTATACTGTCCACAGACCGTTTACTTTCACTTTTACATAGTTACACATGAATACGAGATCCGGAACAACAATTTCTTGATAACACAAATGGTTATTCCAAATGGGTGTCGAACTCACGTCACGTTGCACAGTACACAATTGTCCAGTTACTGCGCCAACTGTGCAGTTCAATATTAAAGACTAATAACATAATTGGTAAAAGTAATTAAAATATAATTTCCGAGCGACCTTTGCAGTTACTAAAAACATCGATAATGGAAGTCCTAGTGTGTCGCTTAAAAAAAATTGTCGGTTAGGCTGTCAGTGCCTCCTTACAAAATTTGTTCTTCTAACACACAATACAGGTGTACATAGTTAAATAACATACAGACAATCATATTACAAAGTAGTGTAGGTTCATCGGTTGACTGAAGAGCTAAAAGAACACAAGTTGAAAGGATGTGTACTGAAACAACAGCAAATGTTTATTACACAAAACTCGCCAGTAGCAACAAGGACACCAAACAAAAAAATAATCGCTTAAACAGTACATATGAATCAGTCGACTTGAATATTACAAAATTGTTTTAAAACAGTCACAAATTTAAATATTCCAATTGACATAATATTTTTCCTGTAAGGCTACGTATGTAGTTGTTTTGACCTTGATAGGATATTATCACGTAGGTAACTGGTGAGGGTGACTTAGTCGTAATGCAAGTCTCAATGGAATGTGATGACTTGCTGGTTGTGTACACGAAGTATAAACAACTTTCATATGTATAAGATCGGATGATCTCATGTACTGCCGCTTGGATTGACATGTTCCTATCTAGACACCTATTGTCTCCCTTTTTATAGCTTTTGCTATATAACTTGTCTATTTCAGTGGAATCTTGGTTAAAGTCAAAGAATTTTAATTCAATTAATCCATTTACAGGCGCTTTTTAAATAATAATTGGTACCTTCATTTTCAGTGTAACGCTCAGCATATTATTTACTCGTTACATATATAAACAAACACCACATTAATTATGAGAATCACGCGAAATTCGATACAATACCAAATAGAAGATTTTATGTCAAAATTCTTCAAAATGATCCTAAAATGGTTTGTTCTCTATTGAAATGGGATTAATAACATGACTGGTGACAAGTGGGTACGATTTCCCTGGAAAATCCATGTCATAACCTTTGTGGTTACTTGAGGTTTATTGTTTGTAGGTTTGGTTATGCATATTGTTCGCACAATTATACATCTTTGGTACTTTCGCAAAATGGCATTTATAAGAACGAATATTTGCTTGTCTAAATTGGAATAAAAAGATCTTGCTTATTTATGACTTGAGACACATACTTTTATTGAGGAAACAGTCAAAACTGATATAAAATATAAACACACTTACTTTTAGTTGCAGATTTTCATGTCTTAGTTTGCTTTCTTCCTCCCTCAAAAGAATAACTTCTAAGGTAGCTTTTTGCAAATCAGTATCTGCGTTCTCAGGCTTGGGGAAAGTCAAAGTCTGAAATAATGATAACAAACAAATATATAATTAGATAAATACAATTTTATTACTTTTTATTAACGATTCACAAAAAGATTTGTACACAATTATTTGCAAATAAATAATAAACATGCAGTTAAAGGAAAAGTAGTAAATATGTGTGTTGGTGTGGATAATGTGATGTCAAGGATGTGTCGGAAGTATTTATATATAAGATACGCTAAGCTAATGGACTCAGCTAATCTATTTTAATTATATAGCAACAAATTTTTGCACTGCTAATGCTTACTAGGTATTTCTTAAAAACGTATCTTCATACAAAAATAAATACAATTTCCTTGATTATTTTACCTAGAATTTCAGTAACATGCGCTTTGTATATTTTATTTATACATTCTTAGCGCAAACGAAGCGAAATTATTATTGTTATAAGAATTAAAAACATATTATACAAAATCTCAAGATCCCTTGACTTTAGAAAAAAAAGTGTGTCAGGTACCGTTTTCACGCCAGTAGTGTGATCATCATCCTTCCGCTTTGCTTCATTCTGGATAAGACCTTCTACGGCATCCTGTAAGACAATTTAAATAACATGCCAAGCTTGGACTAATTTTATCCGATGTTGATACAGTAAATACATATTCCAAATATCTAACGGTACGATGTGACTGTCTTAATGTCTACAAGTAATGCAGTAACTACATTGAGCGTTAGTCGCAACACTACGTGGCTGATTGGCGAAAGGGCAAATAAAAATTGAAAAAGCTCACAAACACAACAAAACGTAAAAGGTAACAAACATTAGTTTCGTACGCACATCCCGAACTACGAGATATATGTAGACGGGATACCGGCAAATAACAACTTCATAAAGTGGCAAACAATACCTTTGTCGACGACTTTGCCTCATCTGCCACCGCGACACGCTTCTTGGTCACTTCGTTTTGAGCGACATTGTCACCAGCATCCTGCAAAAATATTGCAATTAAGTATGAAATGAATACTGATCTCGTGACAAAAGCACTAAATGAATGAATAATTAACGAAAAACTTACATTCAAGTTAGTTCCACGAGGAGATTCAAAGACACACTTCAACTTGCAGTCCATCAACTGATCTGGGCTGATTTCCTTCCACTAAAATAACACACATAACTTTACAATTTATCCTAAACTTTTACTTCCCAAAAATAACATATTTTTTATTTTACATACCACTTGATCAATATTGGTCTTTCCCTCCGGAGCAACCACACTTTGGACCATAAACTTATGTTTATGTTTCTCATTGGGGTCCACATACACAGGCTGTGGAGTAACTGAAAGTAATCAATTCATTACTATACATCTAAGAAAAAAATATTAACATTATACAAACCACCTTTGTAAGCAGAATGACATTGCTTCAACAAGTGTAGATATTTACATTATGCAAAATGAAAGAAAACTGCACTTACTCGCTATTTCCACTTTAGAGTTTGGCTCAAGCACGCCAGAATTAGGACGTACACAGTACTTCTTTGGTGCAGTAGTTTTTATCTTGAAGAGTACCGTATCATTTGAGGGGTTTGTCAATCGCATGTACGTGGTGCATCCTGACTCGAAGAGTCCTGAATAATCAACTAAAATAATCAATAATAATGACTATAACTTTCAGGGCATATACAAATGGCAACAATTATGCTAATAGCATAATGTGTGCTCGTGACACAACTAAAACATTAACAAACTTATTTCTAACTTATACTAAATTAATTTATTTAAAGAATATTCTTTCAAAAATAAATTCGTAAACCCGTAAAATCTTAATGAAGACTGAACAAGATGATTTCACAATAAAGGTATTCCATTATTCATATTAAACCATACCACCATGAAGTTTTACCTTAGGTAAACAAGGTAAGATGATTAAGCAATACAATATCACAACAATAGAAAGAAGTACATCATGTAGTGTTCGTAGTTACAGAAGTACGATCAATATCAAAAGTTGATGAACACATTTAGACTTTCAAAATCACTGTACACCGTATTATACTTAAATCGGTGAACATGAAAGCACCTTAAATGCAACACGAGAATTATTTCTGGTTGTTTATTATTCGCTTTTCATGTTGACTGAATTAGGTGGTATGCTGTACAGCGATTTTGAAAATCTAAAAGTGTTCATCAACTTTTGACGCCGACCGTACAAGTAGTCCAAGTTTAGTTTATCACAATACATAGTAGTTGGACAACAAGTCTGCCCAAAAGCCACTGAAACTGTTCTACTAAATTATGTCACACAGATGTTTCATAACAAAAGACAAAAACCATATATTACTCAAGGAATGCGGCTACGAAGCTACGATTTTATCTATATTATGACTAAATAACTACCAGTATAAATTGTTGTGTTTAAACTTCAAACTCTACCCATTGGGTTAAAGTTTAAAAAAGAGATCTAATATACAGGTAACTACAATCAGAGTTATTAAAATCAAGTAGGTATTTTATATTTTATGTAAGAATATTGCGATACACATTTATGACGTCATAGTTTATCGAGACAAAGCTTCGATAACTAAATGACCTAACAAACAATAGCTCTAAGGGTGCGTCCACATCTAGTGAACGCTCCGCGAATGCGCGGCCCACGAGCAGTTTGCGATATGCCAGCGTGCATTTAAAATTATATTATTTATACGACGTTTGCATAAGTTGCACTAAAGAGGCGCACTATTGACGTTAATGCACGCGCGTATTTCGCAAACGGCTCGAGAGGTGCGCATTCGGGGACATTCGCCAGATGTAGACGCACCTTTTTTTTTAACGGGGGAAAATCATCGAATGACTGCTCCCGCTTGGGTGAGGCGGAAGGGAGTGTCAGACTCTTACTGACTAAAAACCACCCCGTTCCTTCTCCTGCACGTCGAGCCGGAGCCCCGGTTACCCGTTAGGTTCTCCGCGACAGATGTAGACGCACCTTAATAGCTATTGAACATATTGAATAAAGTGCTACAGCGAAAACAATTTAGATTTTATATGACTTTTTATAAGAATGATAATTGCATTATACATGTTTCTACTTCTATTATAATGTACATTACACATAGTAATAAGTTTTGCGTTGATACGGTCTCAAAATATTACTGTTTGCGCCATGCCACCTCCTTGATGTACAATCAGTTGGACATCTAGGAGGCGGCATGTTGTATTGGTGTCGTGGGTTCGAATTCTGCACGAAACAACTACTTGTGTACGATAACAGTATTGCCGATGTTCTATACAATGGCTACGTGAATATATTTAAGAATTTCAGCAATATACTCACAAAATAACTTGTTTTCGTTTACCTACTTTAATTTGTAGGATATATTGATTTGAATTATGGCATGACTTAAATTTACAAATGCAGTTACATATAGGTAGATCTTTCTTACATACACAAAGGAAATAACTGTTGTAAATACACATGTGGGCTAATGTGGCTGATATTTTTTATATAACTAAAGGATTTAAACCAAGATGTTTCTTTTTCATTAATCTCAATATCCTCCTTATGTCAATTAGCATATATAACTATAAGTTTTACTTCTTTTTCCTTTGTTATTCTAGTAAATTTTAATAAAATGTCAATCTTTAGAATTCATCTTGTTAATATGTTTACACACATTTATTAAAGAGAAATGTTGTTGTGTTTAGTTAGAAATAGTCTATAATTTTATTTAATGTATTACCAACATCCTTATTACAGACAAGATGTGCTATAGTAAATAATTGTTTTAATAGAATATTAAAGGACTCTACTTTTGTTATGACAGAATGTTCTGAATATTGTTACTAGTTACATCAAGTTATAGAACTTTTTTAATTAGGTACTTATTAACGGCGTCATTATTGTTAAGCCAAAGTTAACAATTCTGTTGATTGAAATGCAAAGTTTAGTTTCAAAAAATTGAGCTGTGTCACTGCTCTCACCCAATCCAATAAAATACAGATGCTAATAAGTTACTGTGATTCTTAACAATGCTGAAGGGTAACGATTTGTTAAATAAAAGTTAAAGTTTATTGAAGAAACACCCTCAAAATTATCAAGCACAAGTTATCTATAAAAATGAATAAGAAAATGTTGCTAAATTTAATCTGTTTCAAATGCTTTAAATTTTGTAAAAGAAATATTTATAGAAATGCAACAAGATGGTAATTTGTGTTACAATAACAATACATATTATACTTTATACATGCTAGTTGTGTTGAACAGTTTTAACCTAGACATGTAATGCTATGCACATAATTGAATAGTAAATATTACATTATCCATCTTTGAACTTGGCTTTATATGTAACATAACAAAATGCTTTATATGTATTGTTACACAAACAAATTATGGACATACTAGCTTCTGCCATCGGCTTCTCTGGCATGCCCGTGGGATAAGAAGTAGCCTATGTGTTATTCCAGACCATAATCTACCCCTGTCCCAAATTTCATCTCATTCCCTTCAGCCGTTGTGATGTGAAAGTGTAGCAAATAAACACAAATCGTTGGCCCGTTTGCCTCCTATTCCATAAAAAAACACACTGTGGGGATGTAGGTATCACAAACTTTCACATTCATAATATTAGTAGAATTATAAATAATTATGTTTAATAATGTTAACATATAAAATCTGGGGCTTGTGTTTTTTGTAATTTTAAAAATAATATTAGGTATGTAAGTACACCAAGTTCACCTATTTCATTTTACAAAAAAGAAAATCAAATCATTTTTATAATAAACAATGAACAGTTTATAATTATCAATATAATCTCGGGGACTCAGCAGTTAAAAAATATATTGTAAGACCCTCAAAATTAACAGTTGTTGTATTGAAACATTTAGGCTTAAATTACCATGAAACTTAAACCTGATGAATCATTTATTTCCATGAACAACATATCGATAAAACAAAACTATGTTGAGAATTCTAATTATACCAGATTATTAGCAGCTATCAATTGATTAATGGACCTAGAGTGTACAGTTCGAATATTTACGGTTTAATATTAAGAGGTAGAAAAGTAAATATCTAACTATGTATTTGATTAAGTAATTGTAGTTTAAATGTGTATTATTAAAAAAGCAATTTAACTGAAAATTTATCTTTCAATGATACATTTTCCAACTTAATTGTAGACCGGCTAGGTAAGCTAATTGTTTGTTATACAAAATCTGTGAAGAATGTTTCAACTGATTACCTTTATATGCTAAACCTATATACTTAGATAGTCTTGGTACTGGCTGAGTATAATATTTAGACTATGAACAATATAGAATGTACTGCTTTGTTTATTGATGGCTAGATGTGAAGAAAACTTCCTACATCTATTATTATGCATTTTGATAATGCTGAGTTTTATTATTCAATTACCTATTTTGTTCTTCTTTTTGAATCAACTTGAAATAGGCTTTAACAAATTAATTATTATCAAACTTCCAGCACTATTAACATTAAAAAGCAATAAAACTTAAACTACATCTTAATTTGAATAGATAGGCAATAGAAGTCAAGTCAAATAGAAACATTCAAGAAAAGATCTTACCATTGTAAGAACAATAAGTACCTATCAAATTATTTACATTGGATACAAAAATAACGAATTACTTTTGTTAAATCTCAGTAGCAATGTGTCATTTCATGATGCAGAATGGTACTCGACATTTAGGTACTTAGGTTTTTGCAATTGCGACTTGATCGATGTAGACATATGCGATGATGTCTTGGCAATAATAAGAATAATCGGAAACCCAGACTAATTATATGCAAATTTGACAAAATAAGGATGCAAGTTACGTGAACGGAACCTTACAACTGGTCGGTACACATAAGTTTCTTAGCGACTACAGTCATATCCATGTAGGTAACATTTAAGTGTGAAAACCTATTTTCCTAATGATCACTCTAAGAACACAAGCTAATACAGTTAATTAAAAGTTTATTTACGTGTTTCGTATCTAATTATAAGGAAAATGTAAAAAACCGCACCCTGACAAAACGCCGATATCTGGAAATAGAAACTCCATTTGTCAGTAGCTAGCTCGCGACCTATGTATGCTACCCAAGTTTCAATGCGGCGGTTTATTGGTTTGCGCAAAATAAAGAGATTGAGTACTCACCCTTAAATTTTAGTTCGTTTTGAGGCTCTATAGTTAACACCTGGTTGGGCATTTTGTTTTATTATAAGTTTAGTATCTCGTTGGCAAAAAAATGCAGATCACGAAAAAATGACCGTTCCGCGATGTCGGCCAAAGCGAACGAACGATGAATGACGAATTCGACATGCGCATTGCGCATGCGTTCTCTTTCTTTTTTCTGTGTCTATTCTTCAATGTATCCGTAAAGTTGCAAACTAATGATTACTATTTTATCCTATTAGGTATAATTATTCCTATTTTTGTGTAAATAAAAATATGATACTTCTATCAGTATATAATAATCAAATCATGTAATATTTTTCGTTAGAGAATAGCCTCTTTTATGGATTTATGAATGTGACACTAGCTGATAAATTATGTACTTATTATGTGATGCGCGCGCATTTTTCTATTCGTTGTTTGATGAATCTGTACAGGAATTAATTTAATAGTAATTTTTAGGAACATCTTGCGACCAAGGACGTTAAATAAAAGCGCAATCCGCCCTTTTTCAATGTCCTTGCATGCGACATAAACGATATTATAATTTAATCAAAAGTAAAATGAACTTATTAAGAACTCAGTTTACAATTTATTAATATCCTACAGTCGAAATTGATCAATTTCAGACATCTAATGTATATTCTCGTTTTATAAAATTTGGTATTATCATTGACATCTCTATGGCCATGAACATGAATGCTTTACAATACAATAAAATAATTATTTAATTCTCTAACTGCGATGTACTGTGATCATGAGTAGGGAACAGAGTTACATTACTCTAATCATAATATTAAGTTTTTTTTAACTTCATGCAAGACCACCAAAAATATCGTCTTTGTGATATTTAGGGCAACAATGTTCATTGGAGACTTTAAGTTTCCATGTAAGATGTAAGTTGACGACAAAGGCAAAGATTTTGTACAAATGTAATCTTTAAATATTATTCCTGCAGATGCACCATAGATATTAGTCTTATCATATCAGTGAGATGCACCACCTTAAGAAATTTTGCATAATTTCCTTCTTCGTCTAATAGAGAATTAGCTAGTGTCACACCATTGGTCGTTCAAAATTTGACAGCTGTTGTGATTGGACCAAATCCCCATCCTACATTTGCGCTATCTAGTAAGCAAAAAAACCTTAGCCCCCATTGAATGCCAACGTTATGGAAATCACTAACTCATGGATTACGTATACGCCACTACATTGGTAATATCTTATAATTATGACTCTTTGCAATGATTGCATAAAAAGGCATTTCAATGGTTACTTTTTCAGTCGATTAAAGGTTATTTGTCGGTGAAAGCAATATTCAGGTAGCGCTAGTGTTACTGACCCGGAATATTTAGTAGCAATTTGTATATATTATAAAAACCTCTGTATGTCAACAAAAGAGACGAGAGAGGAGAGAATAAATTCTGTCTGCAGGACACTGCAGACGCAGTTTATTCAAATGTCTTAAATGGAATGGAATTTATTTATTTTATATTTATTTTGTTATATTAGGAAGTGTGATGTAATCTAAGTTTACAGCACTAAGGTTCAAAACAGAACGTCATTATAATAGTAAAAAAATATATTTTTTTATTCATACCCAATATTGCCAACTTCTTTCTTTTATGAAGTACTCCAAAAATTTATACTCATTGCATTAAACAGTAGACTGACAATAATGACAGTTTATTATTTAGTTTGTTTTTGTGACGTTTCGCAATAGTTAGTCGAATTTTAAATATCCTTACCATAGAGACTAGAATTAGTAAGTTTTAATTTTTATAGCGGATGCGGATGGATTTACCTGCAAATTGCGATTTGAGGTCCTCTTTGATTGAGGTTGATTGTTGAAATGAAATGTAATGTCAGTGTGGTTTATTTATTTCAAATTATTTTTAACCCATTACCTTAAAATTGATTGGTATTGGAAATGCTCAGTGATAATATTCAGGACAGTATAGTTTATGTATGAGCATGTGTTTGATTGTATCAGTGCACTAGTAGGTTGTATTATTGTTATGATAATTAAATGTTAAAATTGGTAATGCTTGCATAACATGGTCGTGATCCCCGGCTACTTTGGTTTGTCATTTTCGCGTAAATATGAATAGTTTGTATGCAAAGATTTTGTTAAATACGTGTTTGAAATTAGATCTGAACATTAAACATAAACTATTGTTGAGTAACCTTCATCTTAATCAAAGTAAATTTACCGATCAGCAACGAAATTTAGGGACTACATGCTATCGCTATTTTAACGCTACTGACACTGAATATGCACTTAGAGATGGTATAACAGTCATCCCTTCGCCGCAAGAAGTAAGTAAATCAATATTATTTTGTTTTTCTTATGTGATTAACCAAATATTTAAGTACATTGTTTTTATGCCCGAAATAAATTTTCGTATATTAAGTATGAAGTAAATCTGAAGAGGTCCCTGGTGGCTTTGCTACCAATAAAATAACCAAACAGTCCTTAAATGGTCACATTATTCCAAATTAATCAGTTAAAATATAAATGAGGAGTAATTTTAATATGAGTATTGATAGTTTAGCTTGAAATGTGTTTACTACATTTTATAACTATAAATATTTTGTTGTAAAAGAGAAACTAATAAAAGGTCTTTACTGAGATTAGTCTTTCCTGAATCATAATGTAATTATCCATAGGTTTATCATCATATATTCATACTGATTACATTTTTATTTTCATAGGGATATTCATGAGATGTTAAATTAGATACATCTAACTTATCCCAGTTATGTAACATTCATTAGATATTGTGTAATTCATTGGTTACATTCTATATTAAAAATTGTTGCATGTTTCAGGTCACACTTATACTGCGGAAAAATGAATTTAATAAAGAATTCACACAAGGTTCAATTAAGTCATACGACTCTAACCAGCTTGCTTCAAATGACCCTATTGAAGATACCAGAGCTGAAGGAGTCTGCACAATGTCTTCAGGTAAATATAAATATCATATATGTCATTGTATTAAGTAATGAATGTGTATTTGATGTTGTATGATAGTGTATTATGTGTTGATATGAATTATTTATCATCAACAGGGATGCTCTTAGGTATATTTGATGGTCATGGTGGGCCACAATGCGCCCAGGTGTTGTCAAAGCGACTGTTAAATTACATAGCAGCTGCCCTCCTTCCAGAGGATGTTCTTAACAAGTTTCGAGACGGTGACATGCCACCAGAGAAATTATTAGAAACTTTTAATGATAAGGTACAACTTGTTTATATTATGGCTATTGTGTTTCTTTGCTTCTCAATTATTTACTTGTCATTATTAAGAGCTAATGCGACTATTTTGCACTTTGTCTAACATTGCGAAATCTGTTGTGTCATGCAAACCCTAGCTAAATCATCATTAAAATTTCTTATTGTATGTTAGAATTACTTCACTGAATGCTTTAGTTTATAGAAAATATAATTTATCAATGTCATTAGCATCATGTTCAATTTGATTGAGAACTATAATGTACAAAGTCCAATTTTTCATGAATTTCAGATGCAAATGGTGGAAGATTTAAAGAATATACATCATCATAGTTTCAAACAATATTTGTTGGATCTTGTAGCTGAACCTAAGGCAAAAACTGTTCAGGCTTCATTAGAAAAAGCAATAATGAGATTGGATAGTGATTTGTCGAAAGAAGTAGTTGATGCTTACAAGTTGAATGGTGAAGTGAATTACAAAAGCCTATCCGTTGCCCTATCTGGGGCAGTGGCATGTGTCGCTCATATCGATGGTCCACATCTCTACGTAGCCAATGTGGGGGACTGTAATGCTGTGCTGGGCACTATGACAGACGAAAATGAATGGATAGCCAAAAAGATAACCAAAGAGCACAATGCAGAAAACTTTGATGAACTTAAACGAATTTGGAATGAACATCCCGATAGTGAAAGAAAGACTGTGATAAGAAGGGACAGGTTGCTCGGCGAGTTAGCACCTCTCCGTAGCATAGGTGACTACAGATACAAATGGCCGGCTGATGTTCTCAAAAAATTTGCCACGCCATACATGGGGGCCAGAGCGGTACCTGCCAACTATTACACTCCGCCGTATCTTACAGCAAAGCCTGATATTTACTACCATCGGCTGACACCTAAAGATAACTTTTTAATAATCGCTTCGGATGGTCTTTGGGACATGATGACTCCTGTGCAAGCTGTCAAATTGGTTGGCGAACATATGAAAGGAAAAGTGTTTTTTAATCCCTTGAATTTACCGAAAAAGAATATTCAACTAGGAGCTATTGATGAACTCTTGTCACATAGAAAAGAAAGTTTGAAAAGCAAACCCAAAGATAAAAATGCTGCGACACATCTTATCCGTCACGCCATCGGTGGCACGGAGTATGGAGTGGACCACTCGAGACTGGCGCACCTGCTCACGCTGTCACCCGATATCTGTCGCACGTTCAGAGACGACATGACGGTCACAGTCGCTTACTTTGATCCAGAATATCTTAGACAATGTCCATCATAACGTTGAATCGAATTTTTGTGCCTTCTGCGGTTGTATTTTATCGAGACGCCTCATTAGCGTGACTTATGGCCCTTTCCACCAATCACCCCTAAACTGTCATTTAACCAAAAGTTACTTAGCGTAAACTCAGTAGCTCAACTAACCCCTTACTTGTACTGTTAAGTGTCACTTGTAGGTAACGAAAACGACGTTAAACGTCTCCTATGTTAACTTAAAGGTTCATTAAATTTAGGAGAGAGTGTTGAAAACGGCCATTAGTGCTCTAGAACATACAAAAAATATTGGTCAATTTAGAATGTTGGTGATGTAGCTGTAGGAAATACTTTATTTCTTGCTCGTTCTTCTCCATACGAGTATAAAATTTGGAATGAGCAGACAATTATTTTATTTGGACGGTTTAAAAGTGTATGTGGGTTTATTGAAAGGCCGTGACCAACACAGTGAGTGCCTTCTTCACGCGCTATCGTGGCGTCTCGATGACATGTTAACCAAAATGCAATGTTTTGCCTATTTACACTAAATCTAAGATTATTTTAGTATCCAAATTATATTTGTGTGTGTGTTTGTGTATTTATGATCAGTACTTTATGTTATTAATTATAGTCGCTGGCGCCGTTAAATTTAAGTAATTTATTGAATTTTACAATAATAGTTTGTATTTAAAGTAGTCAATATAAATTGGTGCATTTATAATAAACGGTATGCTGTATATTTTAGAGTTTCGTGTCAACTTTATATGTAGTTGCTTCTACGTTACTTTGTCTACCATCCAACATACTTTGACTTCATTATATGTTTTTCAGCAATTTTCTTTATAATTTGATGTTCGGTGCGAAAATAGTATTAGTGATATTATGTAATATAATTATTATATTGTACAATTCACTTGAGGTTATTATTTAAATTAAATTGTAGGATTTGCGCACACGAAATTTTTCGTATTTATTACTGATCAGCGGTTTTGTTTCAATATTGGGGTTGGACATATTGTGTAGGCTCACTATACCGGTAGTAATATTTGAGTATTTAAGCGATACACCGAAGAAGATGTAGGTGACAGAATTACAGGGTTGAGAGCCCTGTAACAACAAACTATATTTTCGACGTATGAAGGAATCTAAGATGAGGCTAGATTCATAATTTGTTTAAAATATTTTATACAATAATGATTATATGGTTATCGGCACTTGTTACGATTGAATATTTTGCTAGTAGAATTATGAGAAATAAAGAAACTAGTTGAAGATCCTTTATCGTCGAATTTATTCAGAAACGCAACAAAATTACCGATCCGATGCCAAAAGTAGAGCGATTCGCACCCTAGATGAAAAGTAATATAAAATATCTCATGAAGATTATATACGAGCCGTGTTGAACTTATCTCAATTACTTGTGGTTTATTCGAAACTTTTGTAAATACACAATTAGGTACTTATTAAATTAGAAATACTCAATACATGTGATAAATTATCGCAGATTATAAAAGTAATACAATAATACATTACATGGCAATAAAATAGCAATTTCTTAATATTCTAAAACACGTTATTGTAATGTAATAAATAATTGAAAGTATGTATTACTTTCTGATGATAATATTGAATTTGGAGCGAGTTGAATATACTTAAAATGGCTTACCTTTTATACCTATATTCTAAATTAGAGATGTACAGGCTGTTTGGAGGGTTGATACAAAGCCTAAAGGCAGCACCATTTTGTATGAAATTAAATAGGTAATTAACCAACCTTGTTTAATCTTCCAAACACCTTGTATTACTAAGTACTTAAATACGGAAATGTCATTTATATCAATAATTCCTAAGTATAGGGAAATTATTTGATAAGTAGAAAGACCGCGAGACCGATCATGAAAATGTCACTGCCATGCTATTTTACTAAGATTTTCCTGGAATTTGACGATAATTATTTGTATATTATTTAGGTGACAATTATGATTAAAAATGGCTATAGAAATAAAATGGGGTTGTAAAGGGAAAATATTGTTGGCTTTTCCCTACGTAATTATTGCTTTGTTAGTGGCTTACAACAAGTCTAGTCTGCCTTTTTTGTTAGTTAATTATGTTTTCGTAAACTGACCATTATAGGTGCTATAGTCGTTTTGTGATCTCTTGGTTTTAAAAATCTAGTATATTAATTAGCCTATAAAGTCGTAATTTAACATTATTCAAAAGTATTGGGGCCGATTTAGTTTGAACTGCCCTTGATTGAGTCTCTTAAAGGTTCGATCCAAATCATCCAGCAACCTGTGTAATAATGTCAATATTTTACAATATAATAGTTATATATAAGGGGTCTCGGGTTCGATGCCCTGGTCGGGCAAAGTATTAATGGGGTTTTAAAAACAATCTCAGTAGTAGCACGGAGTCTGAGTTTGTGCCCGGTATATGGCAATAGGCTCAACCCCTATTACATGGGACTCAACATAAATAGTGAAAAGTGGGTGTTACATTGTACAGTGGCATTGAGTGCCATAATGTCACGTCTATCTACTCCTTCGGGGACAAAAAGGCGTGATGTTATTTTTTTACATTTTAATATAAAGCGAAATTATATTTTAAAATTAAAGTTAATATTTATTTTATATTTTCTACGAAATAAAACGAGCGTAAAATGGATGGCATCTTTATGTGGCTATAATATAATGTCATTGTAACCCATGAGAGAACAAAGTGACTATTGATATCTAGTGGAACAGTTACGGATTGATTTCCTATAATATTTACAATTTTATTCGTAGTCATATCGATATACTTCACAACTATATTTATGCACGAAGTTCACATAACATATCTATCTCTTTTACTCTCACCTATGAATTAAACGCTTTAGATTATTTTGACGTCTTGCCAATAGTCTGTGAATCATGTCATTTAAATAATTATCTGTGGCAATTTTAATTTGCAGTTGAGTTAAAAGCTCGGAACAATAACTAAAGCATGGAAGCCAGGCTAAAATAACAACTACAATCCATATATTCATCTTTTTTTTACTTATGGTATTGATAGTGTATAAGAAAGAGACATGTGTATTGTTTCGTTTCGTTATTATGCAGGTTGTCACTACTTGTAAATATGGTAGTGATGGGAATAAATTAATATATTTTATCGACAAATTATGGTACCTGAAAGTATTGCTGCTGTGGTTTAACGTACATTAGGTTCTTAATCTGGATGTCGTGGGTTCAGAAATAAAACAACAATATTAAAAATAGAATTTAATTGCTCACAAAAAAAGCATATTTACAAACCGTGGTAGTGGTGTACTATTATGTGTTTATCATTGACTTTTAAATATAATTGTCTTTGTTAAATATGTGCGAATTTTTTCGGTAGGTACAGTCAAATTTTTAGTTATATAATGTATCGTAAGTTTAAAATATTTTTGTGCTATGGACTTTTTAAGATTTCTGTGATCATCATATAAAGATTGTTCTAATTAATAATCTTTATTTCACGAAAATTTGCTGTAACTTTATTAATCAATGTAATAATTATTTTGGTTTACCGAGAGATTTTGAATCAATATGCACTTGATATTCTCTTATAATTTTTTCGGAAAGTTGACAGATCTTCGTTAAGCCATATGTTGGTTTAAATAGGCCTCCTCTATATTTAAAGATATCAACGATCTTTAAGGAATACTCTCCGTGATCTCAAGACTTTCTATGCATTTTTCGCATTGTAAAGATTTTTTAATTTCGTTCCGCTTATGTATTCTATGACATTTTTAGAATATTCCGTAATAGATGATGGGTACAAAATGTAGTCGTGTTCTGTCAAATCATCAAAAGTATCATGTGATTCGGGCTCTAAACGACGTCTATACTATAAACAACTTCAAAGCCTAACTAAAATATCGATATGTAACATGACCACATCACTAGCTTAAAAACTAACTTAGAAAATTGATTTAGATTTTTTAGGAAAAGATGGAATTATACTGTTTAGGCTTACAATTGAAAAGTACGACAATAAATAAGTAACATTTATTTATAGTTTACCGGTATTTCCAGTATAATTTATTTTAAAACATATCAAAAACTTACGAATGAAAGTGATTTTTTTCAGCACTGTTTTCTTTGCTTCCTAAATGTGAATTGCAGCCGTCAATCACACAAGACGTATTTTTATTAAGTAAAACACATAATACAAAACGACCATGCACTTTCTTTCTTCCTTTCTTTTGCGCTAATTCCTTAGATAATATTTTTTATTATCAGGAGCCGTAAATACAACCACGGTGACACTTCAGTACTATAATACGGCAAAGTGAGGAAGGTGTCAAACTTGAGTGAAACTGTGAAACATAGAACGTCAAAACGTGATTTTGAATTTGGTAGTATGCTGAATGAGTCCAATGACATAAGATTCCAATGAGTCCACTGAAAGTTGTGACAACCTGCAAATTATCAGAGCTATGTTCAGTTTGCGGTCTCATTCTCGCCTACGCAAAATCGTGTAAAGAGGGAGAGCATCAGATATATGTTTGTAAATTGCTATTTTAGCCTGGCTTCCATGCCTAGTAACTTTTAACCTCGGAACAACCCGAGGTTAAAAGTTACATTTTAAAACTTATATAATTTAAAAGTAAACAAGAGTTAGTATTTGGACAATAAGCAGTCTCGCAATTTATTAAGATAAAACAATGGGTTAAATTATAAATTGTAGTTCAATTCAAAATTTTAATGTAGAAAAAACTGAGGTTTATTTATTTAGACAGTTTTCTCCAAACAATGTACACAACACGTCACAGACATTATTATATACCTATCTAGTAAGCTCATTTTAGTGTCTAATCGAAAGTTTTACAAAAAATTTGCTAAGTTTTATTTTATTCAGTGAGTTATAAAACGTAAACGATAATCGCGATCAACTTACTTTATTGTCATCGACTTGTCAATGTTTTATGTAACGCATTCTCTTAATCTCTCCAAACGGATAAAAAATTTCGAATAGTGTAACGTTTTTCAAGTCGTACTGCCTTTAGTTTCTCTAAGTTTTCGCTAGAGGCTCTGCTGATTTATGCTTGAGAATAAACGTACCAAACGAAAACACTCGTTTCCTGTTAACACTCGTACTAAACTTACGGATGTTTATGAACCTTCTAAATGGTGCTATGAGTAAATAGCATTTAAGGGCTCACTGCCGCTCACTGCCGGCACGGCACGGTATGGCATGGCAAGATTTTATTACTAATCAATATAACATAACATCCCGTCTTTTACCCCCGAAGGGGTAGGCAGAGGTGCACTGTGCACTAATGTGTGGCACTTAATGCCACTGCCACTGCAATGAGTAGAGTTCCTGTTACTTTATTTTGATACGATGATGCCGCGACGCGCTCCGGCGGACTGTGGCATACCACAACATAATCTACCGTGCCGCGCCGGGTGTGAGTGCTGGCTCTAACCGCACTTCTCCCAAGAGAATAGAAACGAAAACTCAATGGGAATGACACTGACACTGTCAAAATAAATGTCAAGCCCATACGTAGGTTAAGTTTTCTATTCTGTCGGTAGAGAAGCGCTTAAATACCTTTTGTGTAAAGGCAGGATACCACTTTGGCATCTTTGCAATATACAAGTCATGCTGCAAATTGGGATGAAATATAATAAAAAATAGGTTATAATGAATATAAAATCTCGTGATGTTCTAATAATCTGATTTCAAATAAGTTTATGTGCTTGTAAGTTATTAGTTATTTTGTTATTATTTCAATATAGAAATATTTAAAAAAAATTGGCGAAATTTATCGGACAAAGCACACGCTTACCTGCTATTTTGGCGCCTATTATATTAATTCTTATTGAATTGTAGGTATGTTTAATTGCAAGTTGTTATGTTTATTGACAAGATAAATAAATTGGAAATATACATTTAGTCGGTTTTTATTCTCCCCATAAATAGAACTATAGGGTATAAACGGAACGCTTCTAAAAACGGAGACAGGTGATAGTGAAAATTAGTTTTATTCAGAAAAACGTATTAAATGTTTCTTTTATGTTTATGTAATACTGCACAATGACTGCACGGTTGGTGCGGTGGCTGGACAACCGGCTGCCGTGTAACGTGTCGCGGGTTCGATTCCCGCACGGAACACCACTGTGTGATCCACAAATTGTTGTTTCGGGTCTGGGTGTCATTGTGTATGTGAACTTGTATGTTTGTAAACGCACCCACGACAGGAGAAAATCCTAATGTGGGGCAACGTTTAAAAAAATAGTTATAATCTGATGCTGCTTAAAGCTGATGTTGTATGAATAACACGAAACCAAAAACGATTAAATTGTAAAAACAAATAAAACTTGTCTACCTTTTCAGAAGGGTTCTGTTTACCCCCAGTATGTTACCTACTGAATCTTATATCACGCTAAATTATTCTGGTTTGTAGTTTAGTTGTTAGGATTATTTTTCAGAACTGCTTATTACCTTATAAAGTCCTAGTACCTTCTGAGAAATGCAACAAAAAAAAATTACTAATATTTTTAAGATTATTCTTTCGTGGGCAGAACTCTTACTGGTACCTTCTTTCTACTTTGTCTACCTACCCACGTTTCACATTTTTCCTATCGTCCTGGGTTATTAAATAATATTGTAATTTAACAAAATATAACTCTACTCAATTTTTTTATTACTTCTTACTGTGTACTTCTTACGACGTCTTAGTATTGGCTTGTAGGAAGTTCGGTGTAAGTCACTCTCAAATTGCGGTCCTCTAGGTTCCGCTATCAATGATCGCAACGACAATGATTTCGGCTAGATTTTTGATGCAGATTTATGCTTACTCAAAATATTCGTGGGGATTTTCAAATCAGCGCTGACTTCCTGCCGCTGTACTGACTTTAAACCAATTTACATTGGATTTTTCTTGGGTCAGCGCTTGTATCGATTTCGGAGTCAATTACGGACCTTGTGTAAATCTGCTTTCATAGGTTTTGTTCTACTACTGAACAGACTCGACCCAAGACTCGAGTTATAATTTCTATATTATCATGGTATTAAATAGGTAATTAGGTAGGAGAAGGATGTTCAGGCAAATAAAATACGAATTTAATTTCAATTCGTTTATTATTAATCATTATTATTAAAAGTGAATATTATTATAATATCTATGAAAGTAGGCGAATAATAAATTACTATTTACAGACAAAGAGAATAAGTAGGTATTATCAGGTATAAGTAGGTATGATTACAAATCAGTAAATGGCGACTATACTGCTGAATTCCTTCAGATTAGGTACAAATTTCTAGAATCTTCTTCCTTTATAGAATACATGTTATGCAACATTCTTATGTAGTTCTTACGTCATTATTTCAGTCAGCTCGTCGCCATTAGGAATTAAATAAACAATTTAAAAATTTGTCGCATTAAACTAAAAGGATAGACTTAATTAGTAGACACGAATTGTTAACCATAAAATTATTTAAAAAAATCGTATTCAGATCGTTATTGCCTGCCACTAATTTGAAAGTTCCATAAAATACAGACGATTTTCCTTTAAATACGAAGAATCGATTACATTTTCAACATGGCACTAGGTTTTAAATACGTTACAAACGATAGATGAGGTGTCTGGGTACCAAAATGAGTACCTAAGCTCCTCTGTGATAGAATAGTGATCTAAAAGGCCTAGGTACTTTTATTTAATTACTTCTCTCTTAGCCAGGCACAAGTAATTTCAATTAGGCGCCTTCGTTATAAAAATAAATTTTACATAGGTACCTAGGTTCTAGATATAAATGAAAACTACTATAGGTAAATAAAATAGGTTTCTGGAGTATTATAATATAACTAGTCAAAAGATTTGTTAAACATTTCTAATTATGTGATTTAGTTACCGTGCTCGATCTAAATGTAAATAGGTTTTGCTCGACTTGTTATTACGTTACATGTTACATGTCGTACGGGTAAGACCTACCGTGATGTTACCTCTATGATGTATCCCTATTATGGTGTTGGTACAAGCTTTACTTAAGTTAGTATTAGCTATTCAGAGTCGGCGACCTAGTTCCACCTAGTTCATGCATGGCGTATACCTACCTGTTCCCCAAGAAGCCAGTACAGAAGATTGAAGTATCAAGCAGTAAAAAAGTTATGCAATCGGAGCAGAAAATAGCTACTGAAAAATACTATTTCTATATAACATACAGATATTATTATGTCATAGTAATGTATGAATATATTATACGATTATTAAAATTTTAGCTTAGGTACCTACCTATAGGATAGGGTCATATTTTACCATAGGTAATGAAACGTTTATATACGCACAGGCCCGGTCAGTCCAAAGGTCTCTTTAGGTTTTAATGTAAGCGAGTAGGTACCTGTATGATTTTTCAAATAAGTGAGGTGCACAGATTTATCTGTGAGGAAATCAGGATCATTCTGCTTGTCCTTGTCACGCTTACAGCTTAATAAGTCAATCAAATTAATAAGTAAAATTGATAGCAAGAAACGTACGTAATCGTATGAACGATACGTAGATTGAATTGTAGTTAAACAGACTCAGGTGGTATCTCAGAAGGTAACTTTATAATTTGTGACATTACAAGATAACATACCACTTAGGAGTTTCTTTAATGTCGGAGACATTAGTTAAACAAATACAAATTATTATTAAATGAACGGAATGAGTGTTGCAGGTGTAAGATACATTTTCAACAGTCCAACTTGAGATCCGATACTTAACCTATACGAAATGCACAGCCCGCGACAATTTCCCTACACTAGTTCGTTTGAAAAACGCATCTTAACGTCTACAAACACTGTTGAAAGACACAAATTGACACGTGATCCAAAACTACCAATTTAACCTTACCGTACCGCCTAATGTTTCAAACTTCAACCGGACAACGCCATCCATTAAATAGCAGAAAGGTTACGAAACGCGAAAGTACAAACCTTCATATTAGTCGTAATATAGAAATCCATTACATATATCATAAGAAGTTTAGTTTATTTATAAGCAAAAGATAACAATTTACTTCGTATAAAGCTGTAGGTAAGTTACTTACACGATAAATAGACTCTTAACAACTACGTTATGTTGAGAATCGCTAAACGGAAATATCCAAAAGTCCTCCAAAAAATATGTGTCGGTCCAGTCACGTGTGTAAATATGTTTACACTTACTAAGATTTCAGTAGCTTGTTTACGCCAGTACAATACATTTGTGAGACAATAATTATCTGAACGTATGTCGTATGTCCAATAGCTTTCCGTAATATTTACCATATATGTAGGTAGATACCATTACAGCATCATGAAGGTGTTCGAGATAACATTTAGAGCTAGAGCTATATTTAGAGATAATATTCGTTAGAGCTTTGCTGAGTGTATCCACATTTATGCATGTGACTGTACCTCATAATATTATGAGAAACAGGATGGATAGTGTGAGACATGTAAGTATCCCTGTCGTAGGGAGAGTGTTATAGATATAGGTAGAAACTATAATATAAGTATTTGGCAATGATTAATACGTAAAGATAAGTGCTCTCCAAGGAAAGTGCATTACACGCCGCCGAGGCGACTCCGGGCGACTGAAAACGTTACAATCGTGCTATAATTTCAAAGTTAAAATGTATTACACAAACTACATCATCTACTACTGCTCTAACACATGGATAACTTGTCGTAAACATAGACGTGAAGTAAATAGATTACATGTCCTCCTGATAAAACTCGCCGAAACATTTACGTTGTAGTAACGCGCTGCGCTCGTCTCAACAATCATCATATTTTAACATCATATTTTAACTTACACTATTTTTATCTTTTTATTACAATTTCACACACCTCTCCATGACCGAAATTGTCATTTACTCCTAACGAATTGCTTTTCCAATTTACTACGTATTTAAAATAAATCAACGCCTAATTCTTAATTTTTATCATTTAATTTACGATTTTCATAAGTTTAAAAATGTTGAATCTCGTTCTCAATGTAGTTTTCAAAAATTTTTAGACGAGCAAAATTTTTTGATAAAAAATGTTACAATTCGTTTTATGGCTTTGCCATATCTGTGTTCAAATTTTATGAGAATATTTTATATATTAATAAGTAAATATGGGGCAGTAAAAACACGCCAAAAATTTTATATTGTCTTATAATGCAAATTTAACGTTAATGGGGCGCAACACTTAAAAAACTAACAATTTATCAACAACAACAGTAAAGGGTTAACGTTAGGTTCAGACGAAACCATAAATGACCAAAGTCAGCTGAGTATCATGCCAGCGGGGCCCCGCGGGGCGCGCTGTGCCACGGGCGACAATGCGGCCCGGTGGAGTCCGTGGCGTGTCTGTATTGACACCATTTCCATTTCATACTGTAAGTTTTGTTGATGACGTTAAGATTAGGCGATTGTTTGACAATGAATAATCGTTTTCTCGAAAAATTATCGTGTGTCTACCTAGTGCACTAACAACGATTTTTACGATAACCGGTTGTGTTATCTCCGGTCATTCTCTCGCACGGATGGAGGAGCAATAGCTCAGATTAAGGGATGAATGTAGTCCTATCACATGATTTAATTTTAAAAATTGCATCTGGTTAAGATGTCTTGTAGGTTTCAACTTCAGGAAGGTAGAACGTATTTATTATTCATCATTTACTTCAGATAGAGCTCTACTAAATTTGCCAACACGAAACGGATGGCGAGGATCAACTACCACATTTATTACTATTATTTAGAAATAGAAAGCACTTTACAGTGCACACGTAATGTTCTTTAACATTGTAATTAATAAATTAAAACCATATCCAAGTATGTGCGATAAGTCAGAAACGATTATTAGTTGCTGGCGAATTCTTTGTTTCCCTTCCCTTAAGCGCTGATTGTGTTCAAGATGGTCAACTTTCCGATATTGAAAGCAATGTATTTGTTCTTAGTTTGTGACTGCATTTCGTTGGAAAATCGTTTTAAGGAATTAACGCCCTTTCTTAAGGCCACAACAATATTTTGTCACTTCAAGAATCGTTGTAGTTACATTGCATCATTAATTCACGCGCAAATCAAGACGAGACCACTATTGCTTTGTTAGTAAGCAGAAATTCCAGAAGTAGGCGGATTCTCAAATAATTTTTGTTACAAATATAAGAAATACAAAAATATTTTTGAGATATTCTTTGTAGATAAATTATGCCAAACTTTGGGTAAAACCAACGAGGTACATTTCGTTAATTCTAAAAACGTTGAGTTTTGTATCGCACAGAAATAAATAATTTGGTTTTGATTTATAATAGGTACGTAGCGGTACCGAATGATTAATAAATAAAGCCTCGCTCCTGGCCTGGTGTTCATATTGGCAAATATTTCTAAAAAACAACAATTAATTAATATGCATCCGTCGCCTATGTTACAACAGATTAATATGTTACCATACATTCATTAAAATTCTTGCACATAATTATATCTACGTTTGTTCAAATAATAAATAAATACAATTTGATATATAAAATTGATCTTATTAGATCAAAATCAACGAAATAATAACACGGAATTGTACGTAAATACCACCGTAAATGAGTATATACCTATTAAAATTACATAGACATTAACGCCTAACACAAAGAATTGGTTACATAATACATTTAAATAACCTTTAAGGATACACATAGGTATTATATACATACATAGAAACATGTAGTACACAAATTATTACACAGACACAAGCGGCGGAATGATATTAGCTCTTTAAGTAAATGTGAAGTCCGGCGAGAGGATGACCGTCGATTAATCGCCTCCAAGTGAGAGAGCCTGGACAATGCGAGGGTCAGCCTTACTGCCCTCACGAAACTCCTCCAACGTCAGACGGTCGTCGTGGTTCTTATCCATCTGGTCGAAGATCTTGTCGACGCGCTTCTGAGGAGTGTTGTCGTCCTCTGGTTGTGGAGTTTGGCCCTGAAACAGTACACGAGTCCATTAAAGACTTTTAGTTTAACCATGACCGTGTTTTCAGTTCATAGAATCTAAAAGAAGTCTTTTTGAACTGCTCCAAAGATGTAATGTTTAATAGTACACCGTAATAAACTATATTGACAATTCCAAAGTTCATGTTGCAATTGAGAAACTCATAATTGAAATCTAGAATTTTAAATGCCTTGATTGTCGTCGTGATTATAGGGACACAAAATATACACATAATAACACACCTTTTATCCCCGAAGGGGTAGGCAAAGGTGTACATTATGCCACTGTACAGTGTAACACCCACTTTTCTGCTACTACTGAGAATTTTTAAAACCCCAGTAGCAAAGTATTACTTTGACCGCCCCGGGAATCGAACCCGAGACCCGTTGCCCGGCAAAAAAGTATACATACCACCATCTGATAGATCGCGTCTACTATGTTGTACATTTCGTCACGTGTTATGTAGCCGTCGTTATCAACATCGTAGAGTCGGAAGGCCCCTGAAAGTACACCACCAATTAACCTGCATAAATTTTCACTAAACAGTTTATCGCTATCGAAGCCTTATAATTAAATTATTGGAATTTGCAATTTCCAATATTTGAACTTGGTTGTTCGATTTTCAGCTTGATAAATGGACCAATAATTTTTGAAATGAAATGTAATATATATTTATTCGGCACAAGACATGCAGGCCAGGAACAAAAAGAAAATATATACATTACTAGCTGACCCGGCAAACGTTGTTTTGCCATATAAATAATTTCGTAGAAGGGTAAAAATTGAGGATTGTATGTATTTTTGTATGTTGTATCATATAAAAATAGAAATTAAAATATTGTCTAAAAACAAAAAATTGTACTGGACTACCCCTAACATTTAGGGGGATGAGAAACAGATGTTGGCCGATTCTCATAGATACCAGATACGCACAAACAAATTTCATCAAAATCGGTTAAGCCGTTTCGGAGGAGTATGGCAACGAAAACTGTGACACGAGAATTTTATATATTAGATAACAAATAACAATAAAAAAGGTAAACAGAGAGAAAGAAAAAAATGAAATACATAGATAATAAGCTACATTATAAAACTAAAAACAAGCTAATAATAGCGGGTACTACGCGGTGTCGGGTTTTGGTTTATGGTACTGGCTGAAAACGGAGAATGGGATAAAAGTGAAGATGTTTATATTTTGGGAAATGATAAAAGATACCAATGGTGATTTTAATATGGTGGCTTTACACTCATTCTTATCTTGATATAAGGAAATCATTGTAAAATATCTGATAATATGTAGGTATGTATATGAAACAGGAGATAAATACAGTGCAGCTTTTCGTCGAGATTTCCCCGTGACGTCACCGATAATGCTCTAATGAACTCCTCGAACTCGATGGACCCATCCTGGAAGGAAGAAAATATCTCGTTACTTATCCTGGTCGGACATAGCAGTGCTAAACAAGAAATCAGAAGAATTGCCACGTTGAAAAGGAACTTTATCGTTTAATTAATAACACTCAATATTGAAGATAAACCAATTCAGTTTTCGTATTAATGTGTTAATAATGCCTATGTCTTAAATGAAGTCGATTTCAACCTGCTCGATGGGCATAATGGCTATGAATATTAAATAGTTTTAAGTTATCTAATATTAATTAAGGGCCATATATTCTGGTCGTAATCATGAGGAAAGTGGGCCGATCTTTTTGTGGTTAGGTTTCTCTTGATCGCCTTTATCGTATTTTCGGATGACATAATTTAGTGGGGAAAAAACCTTAATCAAAAATGGCTAACTGCAAAAAAGAATATGGATTCTATTGAGAACTCAAAATCTGCAGTCTAGAATATACTGAGGGATCTGGTTTTTAGGCCTTTCATATCTATCCAGGTTATAATAAACATATACATATACTAAGATTGGTAAGTAATGCTTGCTTTTTTTCATTCACTGAACTTTTAGCCGAATGGCCCTTTCTTTTGATACCATTTATTGAGAATTCCCTAGTGTGCACGTCAATTAAAACCACAATTAATGTATGTTTTTTGCGGATCATTACCGTAACATTGTGCTGTATTATTATAAAGATGAGTAATAAAAATTTTCCACTTACGTTGTTTTCGTCGAACACTCGAAAGACGAGAGATGCAAACTTACTGGGGTCACCTTGCGGGAAGAACTGCTTATAGATCTTAATGAACCCCTGGAAATGTACAAGGATATATTATTATCGCACAAAAATTTTGTTATCAAGAAATATCAATGTGTTGTCAGTAACATTTTCTAGACAGTGATTTAGGGATCATAATGGGTCATTGTTCCTTGTGGGGGTCGAACCAGTGACATGCTACACGACAATAGGGAATTTAACCTAAGACTCCTTACTCAGTAGTCATGTGGCCATTAGATAAATGAGGCGGGCTTTAGTTAAATATTTACTGAAATTACTATTGTTATTTGAAATTAAATAACTCATTGATATTACCTGTTCGGTCAGGAGTCCATTTGGACAGTCCTTCAGGAAACCTTTGTGCCTAGAAAAGAAATATAATAAGTGAGTCAGATAGTTTGTGTTGCTTTGTAGATCAAAATGTTTATAAGCATGTTAAATTGGTAAATTAAGGGGTAAATATTTTAGTTTTAAATTATTTATATTTTAAGTATAAAATATTTAAGTATAAATATTTAATTTAAATTCTTGTCTATAATGTGATAATTTAGTTACTATAAAAATTTCGTCGTATTTCAATTATTTTTTTTTACTGCTAACGAAAATACATAAACAAGAAATAACTAATCTTTAGTAATAAAACTGATAGCCAGATGGACTTAAGTCCTACTAAATCTTCACCAGAATTATATTATTTATCCGATAAAATAACAAAAGGCTAGAAGCAAATAAGTTGACTTTGGTAAAAAAAGTGATAACAAATCTGCCTGACTGGTTGGAGAGTGAAAACTTGCTAAAGAAAAAGACTAGCCAAAGTTAAAGACGTGTCAATTCATTCAAAGTTCAGATGGACAGAATTCTGTAACCTGCTCTGCTACTCATGCCATAATCAATCATGATAATTTTTTTCCTGAATTATACGCACCACAGTCGGATTTCCTTCTCCGTAACTGAAACAAGCAAAAGAAAGTATAAATTAGTCACATGAGTTACAACTGAGATGTAGTTACTAAGAAAATTACATTGTATATGTTTATTAGGATAATCTCGACGGTATTGTTATTTAGGGCAAATTCTATTAATACCTAGTGAACAAGTATTGTCTCAGGTGCGATGGAATATGTGGAATTTATCGGTATTTTAAAGGAATATTTCCTGTCAGTAGAGCACTGTCGTCGCGTATGTTCTCCAGAATTTACATCGAATATTCTACTTTTCATAGTCATATACAGTAAATTGAGCTTCATACAAGAATAGAATTACAATGTCAAAACACCCGTACCTAATATAATTTCGAAAATGCTAATTAAAGTCTCTTTTCACTTATTATTTTTTATTTAATCAACATTTTCTTTTCATAATTGGGTCGTCACCCTCTTAATCTTGGGATTTAACCAACGAGAGAGGCTCATTTATGCTTTACTCGAAAATCCTAGTTATTACAGAAAATTACATACCTAATAGAAATAGAGGTAATATAGGCACAGGCACATTGTCACAAAATTACATTTACATTATAAAAATACTGAAACTGTAAACACATTGTCCACAGTAAGAGAAAAATGTTACGAAATTGTACGAACTGGATTTAATAACACCACCGAGTAACATTTTGTTACGTAACATTTGCATTAATTCACAACCAGACTAGGACTGTCTTAGAACTTTTAGGACAGTATGAAAATTAGAAAGTTTTTTAACGTAAAAAGCTTAGTTTGTTAGGATAACCATTCTAGTTAACCGACATTTCCTTGACACGAATTTTTTTACGTATTTTTAAAAATAAGTACCTATTGTGAAGGTAATATTTTTTTTTTGGTCCAGGTAGGCAGTAGTATCAATATAAGCAAAATCAACTTTCAAACTCCGTGAAACCTTTGATTAAAAATTCGGCACAATGAAGTTAGTTTACATAATTACGTAGTAGGCCTGTTCACCTAAATTTACCACATTTGAGGGTTTCTATCATCGTCTATCCGTGTGAAACTGTCGTGTTATCGTTTGGTTTTGAATATTTATATATCTCACAGTATCTCACGTGAATATAAACTGTGAATTATAATACTTAATGGTGAGGTTACACCATGAAGAGGAGCGGCTAGCGGAAAATCTATTTTAACATATTTGTACAGATAGGCAAAGGTACCATTTGTCAATGATTTTTCATAGCATTGATTTATAAATAATTGGTTTATAGATCCGTTTTCCACATGTTTGTCTGAAAACATTTAGCTGATTGCAGATGAGCAATGAAAGACCAATGATTGAAGTGCCAGTGAAGAGCCCGTATTTTATAAATGTACATTTTTATAAGTACTTACGTTGTACGGATGTACACAACGTACGAAAGTCGATTTAAATCTAAGTAAAAAAGTATGCATACGTGAACCTAAATACGTCGCTCCCGCACCGCTATGACTCGCACACAATCCGCTGTCTTAGTGACTCCGGAAATGTGATCGACTCAAACTCATCATTTATACAAAATTAGCAAACCTAAGACACATTTTGTCAAAGGGAAAGCGTTTATAAATATTGCCTTTGGGCCGACGACCATCATTTGATGTGTGTATGGGAAAACGAAGATGTCACTCGTGTTGGTCAGTCCCTTCCGATACTAAAATAATAGTTGAAAATTGTGTTCGTGGAGTTTATGAATTGTGTTGTGCATTGTGATTTAATAAGTTGTGTTTTTTTAGGTTTTGTCAGTGATCAGTCTGGCACTAGCAGATGCAGGCTACCAATATAACACCCCGAGTACACAATTCGGTCTGCCGGGTAGCCAGCCCGCAAATTTTCGCACAGGTCATGACTCACATCATCACAGCGCACTGCCAAATGAACAGGACAAGTTGTCACATTCGGTATCCTACAAGGACTATGTATATTTAAAGAATGATGTTTATCAAAATAAGGAAGATCATCGAGGTTTTATAAATTACTCGTCCGGCAACGGGGGATATGCAGCGTCCCAGGTGAACAATGGTTACGTCAATTCTGGTTACCCACAAAGCATTCCACCGGTGGTTGCGTCCAGTGCGAACCTGAACACTAACTCCGCGCAGAACTATGCGCAAGTTGTTTATAATTACAACAGTGGTAACAATCATAACTTTGCACCCACATCAGGCGGTAATGTAAACGGTTATTCTCAGATTCCAGCACCTTCTGGCATTAATGCTAATATTGGCTATCAATATAATAATAACCAAGTCTTAAATTCTGGTTATTCATCAGCCACATCTAGTACTGCAGCAAGTTCTAGTATTCCTCAACCTTTGCCACAGTCTGGAGCTGTTGGCCTCAGTAATGGTTATGCCCAAGCTCCTAGTGGAAATGTATTAAATAACTATTCTCAAGCCAGCGGTACTGCTAGCCATGCTCTTAGCCACGGTTACTCCCAAAACTCGTTATCACCAGCTATTGGAAATTCGAATAGTGGGTATTCACACGTACTAGTTCCATATTCTAGCAGTTCAATATTAAATAATAATTACGCTCAGAGTCCTTTACCGGTTGTCGGGAGTAATGTTAACTCGGCATATTCTCAATCTTTTCCGCCAATAGGCAGTGCGAATTCTATAAGCAACGGTTATATTCAAGCTTCGTCTTCAACTGCGGGTACAAATTACAATTCAGGCTACTCCTATTTCCCGCCGAACTTTTCCGCTAGCTCTGCTGGCTCAAGTAATTCTCAAGTCCAAACCAGTTTCTCGTCACCGGGAAGTTCATTTAATAGAGGATACTCGCAGCATAATTCTAACATAAATACTGGTTACTCTCAAAGTTATCAAATTGGCCAAAGTGTGAGCAACGGTTTTAGCCAACCAATCCAATCAACGATACACCATGGACACACCAACTCAAATAACGATTGGAAACCGTTGATTTCACAAACCAGTTCGTCATTGAATACCGGTACCGTCCAAGCATCTGGCGCATCATACAATGGAAACTTGAATTCTATATCACAATCTTCTGCCACTACACAAACAGGGTCTAGTAATGGGATTTACAACACTGGTTTTACTCAATCAGCTAATATTGTCGGAAGTTCCAGTTCATTATCTAGCAGTGCACCAATAGCTCCCACTGTTTTCAAGCACATATATTTCCATGTGCCACCCCCGGAAGTCGAAGATCCCAAAACAGCAGCACCCCCTCCACCGCCGAAAAAGAATTACAAAATTATATTTATAAAGGTGCCTTCGCAGGAATCTAAGTCGAATTTGGCTCGTTTACAACAAATTGCCGAAATGAGTAACGCTTCAGTTGAACATAAAACCCTCATTTACGTTTTGGTGAAAAACCCGGAGACGCAACAACCGGTAGTATTACCAAAATCGACCCCTTCGGAACACGAGGTATTCTTTGTAAAGTATAATGGCGACCCATTGGAAATAGCGGAGCAAGTCAACAAAGAGCTGGACAAAACTGGTACAGTACAAAGCATAGTGCCCTTAGATCCAGGTCTAGTGAATGGGAAGAAGTGAGACTAGGGTATGAGGGTCTAGTGTAGAGCACGGGTGACAATGGTTGCCGTGAGTGGATAAGAGGCTGTAGGCATTCAGTGTTCACAAATGTCGTATGTATTTACTTACTCATTGCATTTGTAAACTGGTTCGTCACCATTCATTAAAGATTGTAAGTAAAATATTATTAAATAGAAAAAAAATAAGTGTTAAAACTAAGGCAATTATTTCTGTATTGTATCCTAATTTTTTTTTATAATGCTAAAACCTGCTAAGCGAATTTTTTTAAGTTTAATTTTAGTTTTTGATATAAACCAGCTTAATGTCTATAGACCGAGCCAAAGTTTGTGTTAAGTTAATTAGGTTATTTATTAGTTACTGATAAAAATATGTTGCTGCGATGAAAGCGGTAACATTAAATGAAATGTCGCAGATAAACCGGAGATTTCCCGGATTTCCATAAGTTCATCCTAGTCGGGCGAACAAATGCATTGTTGTCTAACTTACTTGAAGGTCAATTGTAAATAATAGTGTAGCAGAAAGTTTCAGTTCCACCTTGATCTACTTATTATGTTCAAAGCAAGAATTAATTCACTAACATTTGTAAACTACACATGATTTAATACTCGAAGGTGCCATAAAAATGTTAATAAAATGTTATATAACAAAAGTATGTTTATTTTCTGTTTGTAACTGCCCAAACAAGTTCAAGTATCAATGGACATAAACATCATATTATGTAAATTGCCTACATTCCATTTCACTATTTAATTATGTAATAGTGAAATCCAGTCATCTCAATAATGAAGCAAACATGTGATTAAAACTAATTAATTGTTTAGTTTAAAATATTTGTACTTGTATGCTTAGAGCGTTCCGATTAAGCATATTAACGAAATACAAATAGATCTCTTTTGGTGATTAGGTACTCTAGTAGTTTTGTGTAATTTATGTCCAGCTCCCAGTATCGTCTTCATTTCATTGAAGCAAGACAAACAGTGAATCTGACTAATCAGTCTGCAGCGTTTATATGCGATATTATACTGCCAAAGCGAAAGTCCCGTCCCTTTCTTATCATTCTATACCTTTCCAGTCCGTCTTTATTTGGCTACCTTGCCAAGATTAGAGATACTTTCGAATTGATTAGGAATTTTACTGCATTTGTTTATGCCGACGTTTACATTTTATAGCGATTTATCTGACATAACGGGGCTTTAGTGCTTCCTTAATTGAAGTTGTTTTGCGTGACTCCCAAGTTCATTATGTTGTTGTCGTCATAAACTGAAATTATTGAATGCTTCTGACGTGTTACAAATGTATGTATTAGTTAAAACAGAATACGAGTTACCTTAACAAGGTAAATATTGGATGTCGCGTTAAACTAAGCAAATGTTCACATTTGGTCATCTGTCGTGTGTACCCTGTCCTATTATGAACTCTTGTACAAATACTTGTTAGCTAAAATGAATTCATTGTTTATAATCAAATTTTTGACATCCTAATTCAGATCAGGTAGTTTAGTTACAAATTCTTTGTAAAATGACATTGATAGTACGATGTTTAAGTAATTAGGGCGATAGACTCGATTTTTAAGTTGGCTATAGTACTTTGAATCTACTTCGAATAATATAATAAATAGTATATACGAACATCGTGGACAAAATGCCCTTCTACGCTTATAATAACCCAAATAATATACCATGACACCGTCCTGCCGTCGAACAGTCGTGAAGTAACATAATATGAAACTTAAAAAAGTAGCCAATGGCAACAAAACTTTTAGCGAATGGAGTAAAATTGGATAAAAGTTGAAAGCTGCGCTTTTAAAGTAAGAAATCGATTTTTATAGTGGTCGCCATGTCGAGTGCGTCGAAAGACAAAACGAATGAAATTCGATTTTTGGTAGCACTCGAGGTTGCTTGATTTTAGAGAGTATCCTCACTACTAACTTAATCAGGTTTATTTCAACTGTACGTAAGATATTCCTGTTGTAATTATATAGTATCAGTTCAGTTATGAAAAGCGCCCTTAATTGATGAACATTAATACCACAATGGGATATCCAAAGATACGATATACTATACCATGAAATTCGCGCATCTGTGACAATTCCTGTGTGGACTGAACCTCACCCACAACGAGCATACGTTTTTCGGTTTTCCGATTCATAATTTACATACCTTTATAGGTATATTTGTGCACAGTGGCAATCACAAGGTCGTAAACAAATTAGATTTAGTGGCCGCCGGCGGACTGACCTTTGCCAAACAAACGGAAATTACATCCTTATCTGTTTCATCTCGACCTATTAATTCGACTTATACTTGCCATTAAATATAGTCTGCCGTGTGCCCTTCGTATTGTGAAAATGGCACTGAATGCCATTGTTTCTTGACCGATTTCTCTAATTCTCGGTTTACCTCACAATAGTGCCTTTTTATTTGTAAGCTTTCTTTTTCTGATCAAGTATTTTCATCATTAATTCCATAAGCCGGTAAATGAGCAGACGGATCACCTGATGGTAAGCAATCGGCGCCGCCCATGGACACTTGAAACACTAAGGCTTTACGAGTGCGTTACTGGTATTTTGGGATTTGTGAATTTGAAGATTGTGGAGGATTCGGGGATTGGGAAGACTGGAGAGGGGGGGTAATTGGGCAACCGGTAACCTCACTCACACGACGAAAAACAACACAAGCGTTGTTTCACGTCGGTTTTCCGTGAGGCCGTGGTATCACTCCAGTCGAGCCGGCCCATTCGTGCCGATGCATGGCTCTCCCATACTTAAAACTATATTTAAGTTTAATCTTTATGTCACAGAACTTCCTGTTCTGAGACGTAAAACCTTTATCTTGAAGTAGCACAAGTAGGTAGAGAAAGGGATTGGCTGTCGCTCAATATTTGACACCATAAAACTAGGACAGGGCCCACGGGGGTGACACAAGCAGTAAGGCTACCTACCCAAAGATTTCGGCGCCGCGGCTTATACAGTATTCTTATGAATATTGAAAGTTATAGACATAAGATAAGAAAGTTATCTTTTTATGCTTTGGTTAAACATTTTTTCTTAAATAAACTTACTTATTTTTTAATTTTCTAGTAAAGTATCGAGTGATCTTACTAATTAATGATGGATGTAAAATTTTGTGAGAATGTACGTATCAACGTTAGATTTTCTTAAAAAAACCTCTACTTTATTCTTGGTACATACAGAATTGAGTCAGAATTTAGAAAACATATCAGGTACTTTCAGTGTGATCTAATTTTAATACCAAATTTTGAATGGATAATATTCATTGTTATTAGGATTAAGATCTTTGGCTTTACTTTAGGTAAACTTATTATTTTGTAAGTAAATGTGAGAGGGTCGTGAGGTGAGACAATCTAAGTACCTGCCTGTTTAGGGTGCAAAGAGGATACACAACTAACGTGTCTATACCACGTTCTTGTCAAGACTAAATTATCTTTGTTGGGTTAGACAAGGTTAGAATAAAATATGTAGATGTGTATAATCTTCACAAAATATGTACAAAGCATAGTGTGCTCAGATTTAACCTAAAATTGCAATTTCGTTTAGGTAATACGCTTCTACTTAATACGTGTTTTTAAACCACAGGTGCATCGTAGCTAAAATTGCAATATTTAAGAGTAATGTGGCTGAGGTTCGCCGTAAAATATAGCCATTGTGCCCTTGTTTTTGTCTGCCTTTTATAATTTTTCTAGTAACCGTTTGTCAGAAGATTTTTTAGTTATTCAGACACATAGGGAACTCCATGTTATTTGACAGCTTCTGTTATAGCCAGAAACATGCGTTAATACGTATCGGTCGTAGGCGTATCCATCAATTAACAAACATTTTTATTGAATTTGACCATATTGCTAACGAATATTAATTTCGTTTCGACGAATAGTGTCGAGCAGCGTGTGGAAACGCGTGGAAGTATCTAGTATTGTATACATGTAGAGGAGATTCATAGTACTGTCCTGTCAAGGGTTGTTAACGATGATGAATATGAAAATGTACGGCTGACCTGAGCTGGGCAGTCAGTCATCACAGGAATATGTGGGAGCTATAGTATTATATGTTGCTCAATTACACCCACAATTATCATTTGGCATTAAGATGGATTACTTCGGAAATTAAAACTAGCCTGCTAATCCGTTTACTAAGAATTAAGACAATTCTTGTATTCAGGACTCCCAAAAAAGTTTTGAATACAAAATTACTTTAGCTACGATTCCCAGAAAACCTTTGAAATGTATAAAAGAAAAAGTAATTTGAAGTATTTGACAGTTCAGTGAGCTTTTCTTAACTGTTGTTTTGCCAGCTCATCGGCTTTCACTGTTTGTTAGACGTTCGAGTTAAATGGTCCGCCATTTTAACTTATAAACGTGAGCTGTTACATCAAACCAAGGCAATGTTAAATTTAAAGTAATGGGCAATTATTTCGTCTTACTTAATTAGTAGACTTTTGGAAGTCTATCTAGAATAGATGCATTCTGGTAAAGTTAGAGTCACTTATTTTTAATAATATTTCGTTTTTAGTCTTGGGTATTTGGCTCGTTGCTGCCTAGTTGGCCGAGTGCTCGGACTGACGGGCAAGGGGTCTCGGGTTCGATTCCCGGGTCGTGCAAAGTATTACAGGGTTATTAAAAATCTCAATAATAGCACAGAGTCTGGAAATGTGCCCGGTATATGGCAATAGTCTCACCTCCTATTACATGGGACTCATAATATAAATAGTGAAAAGTAGGTGTTACATTATACAGTGGCATTAAGTGCCGTAATGTACACCTTCGGGGATAAAAAGGCGTGATGTTATGTCTTGGGTACCTATATCATCGAGATCTCACAAACACGGAGTTTACCATTATCTTTACGATTGGCAGGTAAAGATTGCAGTTTCAAGGGGTTGGGCTGGTAATTTCTTATCTTGTGACACCCACGGAGATAGAGGGGTTGATGATAAATGTACTACTTTGCTGTTACCACCGCTTACAATAAATCAGCATTAACTAAT